GCCCCAACCCCAGCCCCAGCCCCAGCCGCGCCCCAAGGGCAGCAAGCACCCGCCCCCCTGGGAGCCCTTCCGCACTCCCCGCCTCCTGGGGCAGCAGCTCGCAGACAGGGCAGCGCAGCCCAGCCTCGCCCCACCCCGTCCTGGGGAGTTGCAGGGGCTGAGCCTGAGGGCCCCACGGCCCCCCGTCCCCAGGCGGCGCAGTGAGGGCTGCACTCCGCGGCTCTGAGCCTAGACCCAGGGCAGGGGTGGGTGGCTGGGTGCTGAGCAGCAGCGACACCTCCCGAGCTGGTGCTGGGAACGCAGTCTGTGCGGGCCCCGGGGCTGGCACGTGCACCAGGCACCTCTGCGCGAGCAGGCCGGGGCTCGGGAGCAAGGGCAGGCTCCCCCCAGCAGCACAGAGGCCTCGGCAGCCTCGGGCGGCTGCACGGAGCACGCGGCTCGCTCGCAGGACAGCACCCGCCCCGTGCCCGGCTGCCGGCAGCACAGCACCCCATGCCGAGTGGAGGTCCCGGCCCCCAGCGCTCGTAGGGCACGGGGCTGCACCTGAACCTGCCCGCAGGCCATGCAGAAGCCACCTGCTACCTCCCACACCCACCTCCCCAGCTGCCCAAGCCTGCTCAGGGCAGGGGATGCTGCAGCCGCCAAGCAGCCCGGCTGGCCATGGTGACCAGGGCCTGGCTACCGCCTCTCCGTGCCTGACCCTGACCCCAACCCCCCCACGGCAGTAGCCCCTGAACAGGTGGGGGCCAGAGCCCGCCCGCCCAGGCCTGTCCAGCTCCCGGACAGAGCCGTACGTACTCAGGCAGCTGTGTCCGTAGTGCACCAGGAAGTCTGCGCCGAGCGCCCTGGCAGTGTAGTCGTCCACGCAGCACGCACCATAGGTCACGTCGCCCATCACCATGGCCTCGGCCCCCGTGAACCTGCGGGCAGGCAGAAGCAGTGAGCCAAGGGGCAGGGCTGAGGGACTGGCCGGCGGGGCAGCGAGGTCTTGCTAGGGGGAGTCAAACCACGGCCAAGCAGCGGCCGGTTCCTAATCCTGCCCCAGGTCAAGGCTGGGCCCCCGGTGCCATAGCCTTGCCAGAGCCCCTCTGCTCACTGTACGTGCGCCAATTTCCTTCCTCTGCACGCTGGCACTGCCCCCATGCCCCAGAAACCATCCTGGGCCCCTGCCCCTGGGGCTGTGGGGGAACCGGCTGCCACAACCCTCGGCCCCATGCCCAGGGGCTCTGCGGGAGCAGTAGGACAGCAGCTGGGCAGCAAGCACCGGGGAGAAGAGGGGCCCGAGAAGGAGCCGGCACGCAGCGGCTCACAGCACCCGCCCGGGCAGCAGCAGTGGGAAGGGCTTGGCGCTCGGGCCCAGCCAGCACACGCTGGGCACACAAGGAGACGCAGGCTGCAGGAGTGGGTCCTGGAGGCTGAGCCAGCCCCTGCATTGTCTGAAACCCAGATCCGGGCACAGGGGGGCGGCCGCAGCACAGCCGAGCTGCCTGGGCCCGTCCCTACCCCTCACAGCACAACCCACCCGCCGGGCACAGCCCCACGGCCCCACTCTGGGCTCAGGCCCCTCGGCCTGGCACAGACTCCCTGCTGCCCCCGCGCGGGGCAGGCCAGCCTGTGCCAGGCTCCAAGCACAGGGCAACTCCAGGCACGCGGGGCCACGGCTGCAGCCCCCTTCCCCCCGCTCTGGAGAAGACAAGCTCTGGCTGCTCCCTGAGACGTGACCGGATCGAGCTGCAGAGGTAATCTGCCTCTTCACCCGGGCAAAGCTGTTTGCAATTCAGGGGATTAGCCGCTCCTCCAACAGTGCTGCCAGTGGGGGGGCACCAGCCCCTGCCTCTGCAAGTTAAGGGCCCCCTGTGCCCCCGCCGGCACCCAGGGCTGACAGCACGTGTGCTCGATGTCACGGCTGGGCCCAAG